ATTCTGTGTCTGTCCCTGAGTAACAATTCTGTGTCCCTCAGTAACAATTCTGTGTCCCTCAGTAACAATTCTGTGTCCCTGTAACAATTCTGTGAGTCCCTGAGTAACAATTCTGTGTCCCTCAGTAACAATTTCTGTGTCCCTCAGTAACAATTCTGTGTCCCTCAGTAACAATTCTGTGTCTGTCCCTGAGTAACAATTCTGTGTCCCTCAGTAACAATTCTGTGTCCCTCAGTAACAATTCTGTGTCCCTCAGTAACAATTCTGTGTCTGTCCCTGAGTAACAATTCTGTGTCCCTGAGTAACAATTCTGTGTCCCTGAGTAACAATTCTGTGTCCCTCAGTAACAATTCTGTGTGTCCCTCAGTAACAATTCTGTGTCTGTCCCTGAGTAACAATTCTGTGTCCCTCAGTAACAATTCTGTGTGTCCCTCAGTAACAATTCTGTGTCCCTCAGTAACAATTCTGTGTCTGTCCCTGAGTAACAATTCTGTGTCTGTCCCTGAGTAACAATTCTGTGTCTGTCCCTGAGTAACAATTCTGTGTCCCTCAGTAACAATTCTGTGTCCCTCAGTAACAATTCTGTGTCTGTCCCTGAGTAACAATTCTGTGTCTGTCCCTGAGTAACAATTCTGTGTCCCTCAGTAACAATTCTGTGTCCCTCAGTAACAATTCTGTGTCTGTCCCTGAGTAACAATTCTGTGTCTGTCCCTGAGTAACAATTCTGTGTCTGTCCCTGAGTAACAATTCTGTGTCTGTCCCTGAGTAACAATTCTGTGTCCCTCAGTAACAATTCTGTGTCCCTCAGTAACAATTCTGTGTCCCCCTCAGTAACAAATTCTGTGTCTGTCCCTGAGTAACAATTCTGTGTCTGTCCCTGAGTAACAATTCTGTGTCTGTCCCTCAGTAACAATTCTGTGTCCCTCAGTAACAATTCTGTGTCCCTCAGTAACAATTCTGTGTCCCCTGAGTAACAATTCTGTGTCTGTCCCTGAGTAACAATTCTGTGTCCCCCTGAGTAACAATTCTGTGTCTGTCCCTGAGTAACAATTCTGTGTCCCTGAGTAACAATTCTGTGTCCCTCAGTAACAATTCTGTGTCCCTCAGTAACAATTCTGTGTCCCTCAGTAACAATTCTGTCTGTCCCTGAGTAACAATTCTGTGTCCCTGTAACAATTCTGTGTCCCAAACAATTCTGTGTCTGTCCCTGAGTCACAATTCTGTGTCCCTGAGTAACAATTCTGTGTCCCTGAGTAACAATTCTGTGTCCCTCAGTAAACAATTCTGTGTCCCTCAGTAACAATTCTGTGTCCCTCAGTAACAATTCTGTGTCCCTCAGTAACAATTCTGTGTCCTGTCCCTGAGTAACAATTCTGTGTCTGTCCCTGAGTAACAATTCTGTGCTGTCCCTCAGTAACAATTCTGTGTCCCTCAGTAACAATTCTGTGTCCCTCAGTAACAATTCTGTGTCTGAGTGTCCCTGAGTAACAATTCTGTGTCTGTCCCTGAGTAACAATTCTGTGTCTGTCCCTGAGTAACAATTCTGTGTCTGTCCCTGAGTAACAATTCTGTGTCCCTGAGTAACAATTCTGTCCCTCAGTAACAATTCTGTGTCCCTCAGTAACAATTCTGTGTCTGTCCCTGAGTAACAATTCTGTGTCTGTCCCTGAGTAACAATTCTGTGTCTGTCCCTGAGTAACAATTCTGTGTCTGTCCCTGAGTAACAATTCTGTGTCCCTCAGTAACAATTCTGTGTCCCTCAGTAACAATTCTGTGTCCCTCAGTAACAATTCTGTTCTGTGTCTGTCCCTGAGTAACAATTCTGTGTCTGTCCCTGAGTAACAATTCTGTGTCCCTGTCCCTCAGTAACAATTCTGTGTCTCAGTAACAATTCTGTGTCCCTCAGTAACAATTCTGTGTCCCCTCAGTAACAATTCTGTGTCTGTCCCTGAGTAACAATTCTGTGTCTGTCCTGAGTAACAATTCTGTGTCTGTCCCTGAGTAACAATTCTGTGTCCCCTGAGTAACAATTCTGTGTCCCTGAGTAACAATTCGGTGTCCCTCAGTAACAATTCTGTGTCCCTCAGTAACAATTCTGTGTCCCTCAGTAACAATTCTGTGTCTGTCCCTGAGTAACAATTCTGTGTCTGTCCCTGAGTAACAATTCTGTGTCTGTCCCTGAGTCACAATTCTGTGTCTGTCCCTGAGTAACAATTCTGTGTCTGTCCCTGAGTAACAATTCTGTGTCCCTCAGTAACAATTCTGTGTCCCTTCTTAACAATTCTGTGTCCCTCAGTAACAATTCTGTGTCCCTCAGTCTGAGTAACAATTCTGTGTCCCTCAGTAACAATTCTGTGTCCCTCAGTAACAATTCTGTGTCCCTCAGTAAACAATTATGTGTCCCTGAGTAACAATTCTGTGTCTGTCCCTGAGTAACAATTCTGTGTCCCTAAGTAATGGTTCTGTGTCCCTAAGTAACGGTTCTGTGTCCCTGTGTCCCTAAGTAACGGTTCTGTGTCCCTAAGTAACGGTTCTGTGTCCCTAAGTAACGGTTCTGTGTCCCTAAGTAACGATTCTGTGGCCCTAAGTAACGATTCTGTGTCCCTCAATACAATACAGGTGGTCTGTCTCTCTTGAATGACTGGAGGCTAATGGAGAATTCTAAAATGGCCGCAATTTATAGCTCGACCATTACACAGTGCTGGCTGGCTGGCTGCTGATTGGCTAATGCGATCACATGTCATGAATGAATGCATTATGGGTCAGCGCGCCTTGCCTGCGCGCCTTCCCACAGATCCCCGCTCCATCGCCGCACATGTCGCCGCCATTTTTCGAAAATTTCGATTCGCGCATCCGAAGTCTGCTAATTTTTCGGATTCGGAATCAAAATTTTCCTAATATTCGAAACGAATTCCACTTCGCCAAGTTCGATTCGCTCATCTGTACTCATGAACCACCCTATCATACAGTGAGGAATAGGAGTATTTGAACAACCTGCGATTTTGCAAGTTCTCCCACTTAGAAATCATGAAGGGGTCTGAAATTCACATTGTAGGTGCATTCCTACTCTGAGAGACAGAATTTAGAAAACAATTCAGGAAATCACATTGTATGATTTTTAAATAATTTATTTGTCTTGCACTGCTGAACATGAGTATTTGAACACCTGAGAAAATCAGTGTTAATATTTGGTACAGAAGCCTTTGTTTGCAATTACTGAGGTCAAACGATTTCCTGTAGTTCTTGACCAGGTTTGCACACACTGCAACAGGGATTTTGACCCACTCCTCCACACAGATCTCCTCTAGATCTGTCAGGTTTCTGGGGTGTCGCTGAGCAACACAGAGTTTCAGCTCCCTCCAAAGATGTTCTATTGGATTTAGGTCTGGCTAGGCCACTCCAGAACCTCGATATGCTTCTTACGGAGCCGATCCTTGGTTATCCTGGCTGTGTGCTTCGAGTTGTTGTCATGTTGGAAGACCCAGCCACGACCCATCTTCAATGCTCTGACTGAGGGAAGGAGGTTGTTGCTCAAAATCTCACAATAAATGGCCCCATTCATCCTCTCCTTAATACAGTGCAGTCGTCCTGTCCCCTTTGCAGAAAAGCACCCCCAAAGCATGATGTTACCACCCCCCATGCTTCACAGTAGGGATGGTGTTCTTGGGATGCAACTCATCCTTCTTTTTCCTCCAAACATGACGAGTGAAGTTTAGACCAAAAAGTGCTACTTTGGTCTCATCTGACCACATGACTTTCTCCCATGCCTCCTCTGGATCATCCAGATGGTCATTGGCAAACTTCAGACGGGCCTGGACATGTGATGACTTGAGCAGGGGAACCTTCCGTGCAATGCATGATTTGAAACCATGACGGCGTAGTGTTCTACCGACAGTGACCTTTGAAACTGTGGTCCCAGCTCTCTTCATGTCATTGACCAGCTCCTCCCATGTAGTTCTGGGCTGATTCCTCACCTTTCTTATCATCAGTGATACCCCATGAGGTGAGATCTTGCATGGAGCCCCAGTCCGAGGGAGACTGACAGCTGTCTTTAGCCTCTTCCATTTTCTAACAATTGCTGCAACAGTTGATCTATTTTCACCAAGCTGCTTGGCAATTGCCCCGTAGCCCTTTCCAGCCTTGTGGAGGTCCACAATTTTTTCGCTAGTGTCTTTTGACAGCTCTTTGGTCTTGGTAGTAGTTGGCGTCTGACTGACTGTGGGGTGGACAGGTGTCTTTAAAGAGCTCAGACAGGTGCTACTAAGTTAGATTAATGAGTGGAGTAGAGATAGACTTTTTAAAGGCACAGTAACAGGTCTTTGAGAGCCAGAATTCTTGCTGTTTCTTAGGTGTTCAAAAACTTATGTTCAGCAGTGCAAGACAAATTCTTTAAAAATCATACAATGTGATTTCCTGAATTTTGTTTTTAAATTCTGTCTCTCAGAGTGGGAATGCACCTACAATGTGAATTTCAGACCCCTCCATGATTTCTAAGTGGGAGAACTTGCAAAATCGCAGGGTGTTCAAATACTTCTGTTCCTCACTGTATGCCTTCTCAAAATCAAATGTTAGCACAGCCACCTTCTGCTTCATCTCCTTACACCACCACAACCCATCCCTCAAACATAGCAAACTTTCTGTTATCGTTCTCCCAGGCACCGCACATACTTGTTCATCACCAACCATCCCTTCAACTACAACTACATGCCCCACTCTATCAGCCATTACTTTTGCAACAATCTTGTAATCGGCATTAACTTGTTGCCGACCGCAGATAGCCGAATGACGGCTGCACTGCGGCCGGCCAGTTCTGAGTGGATGACATATGACGTCCTCCCAGAACGCGCTCTCCTGCGCGCCCCAGGGGGCACGCACCCAGCGATCTCCGTGATCGCTGTGTCCTACGGACACAGCTGATCACGTGATGTGGTAAAAGGCCAATCACAGCGGCCTTTTACCACGTGATCAGCGGTGTCCAATGACACGCTGATCAGAGGGAAATGCAAGTGCCGGTTCTCGGCTGCACTTTCCTCACGCTGTCAGATCGTGAGGAAAGTACTGCCGAGAACCGGCAGTTGTCAGAGCGAGGATCGGCACCGATCATCAGGGCACTGATGATCAGTGCCCTGATGATCGGTGCCCAGCAGTGGCATCAGCAAGTTCCGCCCACCTGTGCCCAGCAGTGCGCCCACTAGCTCCGCCCACCTGTGCCCAGCAGATCACCCACCTGTGCCCAGCAGTGCACCCACCTGTGCCACTCTGCAGTGTCACACACCTGTGCCCAGAAGTGCCACCTACCTGTGCCCAGCAGTGCCACCCACCTGTGCCCACCCACCTGTGCCCACCAGTGCCACCCACCTGTGCCCACCAGTGCCACCCACCTGTGCCCACCCACCAGTGCTGCCCACCAGTGCCACCCACCAGTGCAGCCCAGCAGTGCTGCCAGTCACTGCCACCAGTCAGTGTCCAGCGGTTGTGCCAGTCAGTGCCGCCAGTCAGTGCCCAGCAGTGATGCCAGTCAGTGCTGTCTATCAGTACCCATCATCAGTGTCACCTATCAGTGCCGCCTATCAGTGCTGCATATTAGTGCCGCCTATCCGTGACACCTCATTAGTGCTGTCTATCAGTGCCGCCTATCCGTGCCACCTCATTAGTACTGCCTATCAGTGCCATTTAGTGCTGCCTATCAGTGCCCATCAGTGCCGCCTATCAGTGCTTATCAGTGCTGCCTCATCAACGCACATCAGTGAAGGAGAAAAATTACCTGTTTGAAAAATGTTATAATAGAAACAAAGAAACTTTTTTTTTTTTCAAATTTTTTGCACTTTTTTTATTTATAACGCAAAAAGTAAAGTGCCCAGCGACGATTAAATACCACCAAAAGAAAGCTCTATTTCTGAGAGAAAAAAATGATCAAAATTTCATATGGGTACAATGCTGCATGACCGCGCAATTGTCAATCAAAGTGCGGCAGCGCTGAAAGCTGAAAATTGGCCTGGTAAATAAGGAGGTATAAGTGCCTGGTAGGCAAGTGGTTAAACAAAGAAATTGGCCTCCAATTCCTTAAAACATTCTTGTCCCCTTTTTTGTACAATAACACAATTATACTCTCACACATTGATTTACCCAATTTCCCACTTTCCAAAACTTTTACACACACATAAAAACACATCATTACCTATAACATCCCAAAATGCACTATAAAAATTCACTGAGTGTCCATCACTCCCCGGCGATTTACCCTTTCTCATTTTTTTCGTACATCTTTCAACATCTTCCATACTCATTCTCTCCTAACAATTCTCTATCTTTCATACCCAAACATACCTTAATCTCCCCCTTTCAGCATACAATTTTGAGTAAAACTTCCACACTTCCTCTCTCACTCTACTATTCCCACTTACTCCTCATCCAATACACTTGTCATATCCATCCTCCCATCGAACGCTTTTTAAAGAAAAACCTCAGACATTTCTCATTTTTCTCCCTAATTACCGTTTTTGCTTGCATCAAAATATATTTCTACTTCTTTTCCATACATTCGTTCACTTTCGCCCTTGCTTCCACCAACTCAATCTCAACATCCGCACCCAACCTCCTCAATTCCTCCCAGTATTCCAACCACTTCTGCCAACCTTCATACACCTCTGTTTCTCTCCATTCTTTCTCACATCCATTCTTTATAAAAAATACTTTCGTACCACCCTTCACCCATTTCCACAACTCAATCACACCCTCAAAATCACCCACCCTCCTTTTTAACTTATTAAATAAACATACATACTCATTCTTTATTTCTTCATCCTTCAATAGACTCACATTCAACTTCCACACCCCTCTCCCATGCACACTATCCCCTTTTATACTCATTACACATCCAATTCTGCCATGGTCCGTGAAAGGTTCCCTTTTCACTGTAAAGCCTTCTGTATGCAGATTCCGGATGCAAAACGAAAATCAATATGGGACTTAACATTACCATTTCTGCTAAAAAAGTATATCTTCCTTCCCTCCCAACATCCTCAAAATTAAATAAATTCAAAATATCCCTTGACTCCTTCACAGACATATTCATCCCACCCCCTCCCCTACCACCTCCCACCCCTATCACCATCCCTAATAATACAACTGAAATCCCCCAACACCAAAGTAGGTTCTGTACCCATAAAAAATAACTAACTTGTCAAACAAGCATAATCTCTCCTGCTTATTTGTAGATGCATATATACAAAAAATCCTAAACAACACCCCTCCCTCCTCAAAATATTCCAATACCGCTCTCCCCCTCTCAATGTGTACCACTCAGATCATTTTAAATCTATTCCCTTTAAAGAGAATAGCCACCCCCCTATTTTACTCCACAGAGAGTGACACACAGCATGACCACACTTCCATTTGGCAATTTTAGGCTCCTCAAGTTACAATCCTGTATGCAACGGATATCACAGGAACTTGCTGCAAAGTTTGAAGACTACCACCCTCCTACAAGCAGATCTTAAACTGCGTACATTAAATGAGGATACACTGAACATCATTACCAAAGAAAAAATAAGGGGATCAAAGCAAACAAAGAAAAAACAAAACTTTTTTTTTTTTGTTCTACCCCTCCACCACCCCCTACCGAGATTTTTGGGACTCTTCCAGCTTAACCCATTTCATTTTGGACTCAGGCTTTTTTTCTCCATTCTGGCCTCTGCGATACCCCATTACCACCTGTAAATCCTCAACTTGGCCAGCACTAGCGAAAGACTGAGCCGAACTGTCTGATTCTACTGCCAGGTCAATCTGCAAGAACTCTGCTTCACTACCATACTCCTCAATGTTTTTTGTAGGGCAGAGGGGCTCAGAGCTTTCCATCTTACGCTTTAACAGCCCAAACTTTGGTCCATTGCAACCTCCTCCTCCTCCACAGCACTGGAACCACTTTCTCCTCCTACATTCACCATCTCCTCCAACTGTTTTTCCCCCTCAGCCACAAGAGTCTCGGGAACACCTCCATCCAAGGAGACCCCACTCACCCCGGCCTCATCAGGAAACACCTCAGGTTCTGGGGCCTTTGGCTCATCTTCTGCAATAGCAGCAAGGGTCTGACCCAAAGCCTCCAGGGGGTCTACATATCTTACTGCAACCTGCAACTAATGAAAACAAAAGAAGGATGGAGGGAAAATATAAGGACACTGATTGCCTAATCACTTAATAAGTGTTGCTGTCTAAACCATAAGCTCATGAAAATCAAAAAAGGTCACATTGGTGGGTAAAGCCCACCCAGTGGGACAAGTGGTTTATTTAGCAGCAAACAAGGCTTGTATCAGACTTTGCAATTTTTGAAAAAATATTTATTTGTATCAAAAAGAATTTTACAGTGCAACAAAATAGCGTAAGCACACTGTGCTCAGCAACCTTAACATATATATGGACATACAAATAGTTAAAACCAGTGTCAAGGTAGGGGTGTCCGGACATCAATTAACTTGCTGTATGTAGTCACCATGGAAAGCTGTCCCAAAGGAAGTATTTCTCACACCTTATCCCATTGGTATCCAAAAGAGGTAATTAGTCTTACTGGGCCATCAAAGTTGTCATTATATTTGGTTGTTTTTTTAGTAAGGAGACTATTCTTATCATAGTTGGCCACTTTTCTTTTAGATCTACACAATTGTCTATGTGAGTATCCCCATTTGCGAAAGCGAGCATAAAGGTCCCTGGCCTCCTTTTTATAGTCAGTGTCCCTAATGCAGTTCTGCTTAACGCTTAATACAAAGGAATTGACCAACCGGAATTCCATTTTTCAACCAAGTTGGATGGTGACTATCTGCTTTTAAAAGTGTATTTGCTGTCGTGTCCTTACAGTGAGTGCGGGTCACTACTGGGCCATCCTCTATAGATATAGAAATGGAATTCATTTCAGGCCTTTTGGAATTTGCCTTGAGCAATAATTTTTTCCAATTTTCTGGGAGATACTATCAACAGGTACAAGGTACCCCTATGGGTGCCCCTTGGGCTCCTGCCTACGCGTGCCTTCATCTTGGCATGTGGGAGGAGCAAGAGGTCTATACTTCATCGATGTACCAAAGCCACGTCTATGCGTGGCTAAGATACATTGATGATGTATTTGTTCTTTGGAGAGGTGACATTGAAGTATTTGGTCAGTTCATGAACTACTTAAACTGGAACGATAGAAATATCTGTCTAACCTATACATATGATAACAGACAGATCTCCTTCCTTGACCTCTCTATATCTATAGAGGATGGCCCACTAGTGACCCGCACTCATTGTAAGGACACGACAGCAAATACACTTTTACAAGCAGATAGTCACCATCCAACTTGGTTGAAAAATGGAATTCTGGTTGGTCAACTCCTTCGTATTAAGTGGAACTGCACTAGGGACACTGACTATAAAAAGGAGACCAGGGACCTTTATGCCTGCTTTCGTGAACAGGGATACTCACATAGACAATTGCATAGAGTTAAAAGAAAAGTGGCCAACTATGATAGGGATAGTCTCCTGACTAAAAAAAAAACAACCAAAGATAATGACAACTTTGATGGCCCAGTAAGAATAATTACCTCTTTTGGATCCCAATGGGGTAAGGTGCAAGAAATACTCCAGATCCATTGGGGAATTCTCTCTAACTGCCCAGGTCTGAACTCTATTGTGGGACAATCTTCACAAATGGTGGCTAGAAGGGCGCGGAATCTTGGAGATATTTTGATCCACTCTGAATTTATTAAGACATTGTTTAATGATTGGCTTTCAGACTACCCCAGAACAAGGGGAATGTATCTTTGTGGGAAATTCCAAATCTGCCAATATGTGGATCGAACTAATGTCTTCCAAGATTCACTGAAAGAAAACAGCTTATGAATCAGAGACTTAATTAAGTGCTCTACAACTAGGGGGATCTATATGATCACCTACCCCTATGAAAAGATCTATGTTGGTAAAACTAAAAGACAACTAAAAGTGAGAATAGGGGAACATATATAGGAAATTAGGGAAAAATCCCAAATATCAGGAGAAGCTAAACATTTCAGAAAATTTAATTGTGGTAACCCAGAGGGAATGAAAATTAAAGGTATCTATGCCTTAAAACTATCTCAAAGACGAGGTGATTTCAATACTGTTCTACTTAGGAAAGAAAAATGGTGGATCTATAAGTTAAAATCATTGGCGCCACTTGACCTGAATACTGAATTAAACCTTCAGATCTTTATGGATGAATAGCAGTATATAGTACTATCTGAACTGATTACTATTGTTTCATGTTTTATTGTTACTTTAGTCACCTCTTATTATGCCCTACTATTTGATTTTGAATTGATCTCATTGGACGAATGGACCGTTTATATGTCGAAATAGCCATTCGGTTAAAATAAGAGTATATGATACCTTATATTAAAGGATTTAACTGATTGATTGGTAATCTTTAATAAGGTCAGAGAGATTTAAGAGATCCACATCATGCAGTAAGGGGCGGGATGACCACCACATATAAGGAGTAATCAAGCCGCCCACATGTTGTCCTGACA